TTCAAAGTAGAGGGACATTTTATAAAGTGAAATTCCTGAAAAGCTATCCCCCCACCTTAAAATATACATTAGGTTTATGCTTTGCTTTCAGTCAGGTATAATGTCAGGGTACAGCCTAGTGAGGAATCTTGAAACATTGCAAGTTCCAATGCCCATCTCTTTAGCTTCCCAAAGCTTTGCTATTCTGATCCCATAGTTAGCAGTAACTTCCAGTTATGTCAGCTTGTGCCAAATTATGTGATGGTTCTTGTTCTGGCATAAATTAAACTTCACTTCCAAACTAAAGTCAGGGTTGTGATTATATTATTAAAGGAGCAAGATCTTTCACAGGACATGAATTAATATTATTAGAGGTAAGACAATAAAAAAATCAATGAAATTTTGTCTTTATTTTTGCATTACTGAACCGTAAACAAAATGGTTCCATAAACAAAGATGAATGGAATTAATTATCTTTTTGTCTCATACGTGGAAGTTGTTAAGTTCATTGCTGTTGTCTGATTTTGTTCAGGGGCTTTTTCTTCCTTTGGTGTATGAAAAGGTCACACCAAACAGTCATATCATGGGAAATAGAACATTCCAACCACAATATGGTTATCTACAAAATAAATTGACATGTTTCTTGAAAAAAAAAATTGGACATTGGCTGTTAAAAGATCACGTTTTAATTTTACTAGAGCATTTTCCAGAGGTACTGCTCCCATAGTAGGGTTTAAAGCATTCCAGTGTGAAATAGCAAAAGGAATCAGCTACTTATCATTTAGGTGATGGTGGTTGGATTTGTGGCAAATCCATGCCATATGGCTACTCTGCTCAGAGGGAAGTGATGGCAGCCCTAAGAGATTTACCCCATCCTTTTGGACTGCTGCCTCAGACTCAGTTGCTTTGATCTTCTATTGCGCAGCTGGGAAGAGTAAAGGCTAGTTTTGAAGTGTCCTAAAAAGAGAACATATGGGACCATTGTTTTAGACTGTACCTTCATTTCATATAAGCATTCTTTTGAGGGTACAAGTATTTTCATTTGAACTCATCAGAAAAATGTTTGGGTTATTTTAAAAAATAAAAAAGCTAAAAAAAATGATTTCTTTCCTAAATTGCAGTACTTTATTTCTTGCAAGATACATTGCTTTATTCCCTTTTACAAACAAATTTCAAGTGTATATAGAAAAGACAAGTGTCATTCATGTAACTCTCCCATTGATAAGTATATGTTTAATGTCTTTTCAAGTGCTGTTATTCTTTGTCTTTTTTTGGCCAAAGTTTACCACTTACCCCAGTAATGTTTACGTTCAAGTATAGCGAGACCAGTAAATGTATTCTTCTAGTCACTGGAAGGTAAAATACTTTGGAGGGGTGATGCTTGAAAATATGATCAGACTCTTTAACAGTATAACAAAAAGGAGCAAAATGTACTGTAATAACAGCCGTATATAGTAGAAAAGTTTTCTGAATGATGGATAGAAAAACCAAAAGGAGAGTTTTTCTAGTCTTGTTTTATTTTCCATTTCTACTATGAATTGCCATAAAACTCCCTCATGTCATTCTTTGCTTTGACTTAATGAGAGAAGCATGGTTGTTTATTCATCTTTAGTAACAAAGTTATTTTCCACAGAAAAATTTGAGGGAGATAAACCTAACAATCATAGATGGTTGTAGCATAGTAATAAAGAGATTATGTTGACAAATGCAGGTTTCCTCCACATGTATTTTTGTTAGTTTTTCCTAGGGTGTTTTTTGCATCCACATTCCAAACACTATCATGATATTTCTATTTATTGTTATCACCGTCAACAGCAACTAGAATCTGGCTCACAATTCCCAGGAGAAAACCCAAACCAGTTGTTCCTTTATGGAACAACTCCAGTCTTCTCACATTGCAGTGACCCTGGCAACATTTTGAAACTTTCTGACCACAATAGATATCAGACCTATGTCCAAGTTCTGATGTAGTAAAATGAATTCTTTTTCTCTCAATTGTGTGTTTGTTTGTAGTTCCGATTCCTAAATATTTCCAAATGCTCTCTTGTTTCTTCTGCATTTCCTCTCATAATGGTCTTATTGATCTGGCAGGTGTATTCAGAAACCTTTGAGGGTGAAAAGAACACAAGTTCTCACTCCCATCACTTAGCAAAAAGATTATAGAGGTTTTGAGTAATTTGCTAATGGCCATTATAACCAAATATAAAACTATACTTGAACCTATGTATGTTCTCCATAATTGGGTATGGAGCAGCAGGGACTGGGGAAACAGACTTATTTTCCAGGGATTCTTAAGTCTTTTCAAAATATTTTTTAATTGGAAAAAATTTATACAGTCACATGAGTTGAAAGGAAATGGGCAAAATAAAAATTGCAATTTTGGAATTTTAAAATAATTTAGTTATTTGTATGAGGTGATTAGGTGCATAGCTTTAAAGTCAACTTGGATTAAAATTCTGGCTTTGGGACTCACTAGCCATGTGAACTTAGGATTTATTTTCTCTATGCTTTATTTTTCCTCATGACTAAATATAAAATTAAGGTATACTTCATAATTCAAGGAACTTACAAACTTAAAAATATATATATAAAGTACATTTTTTGCACTTAACACAGGGTCTAGAGCATAGAACAGTACACCATGTATGTTCTTATAGCAAAACCTTTGTAGTTGTTGCTGTTCTCTTGTCTGAAAGCTCTTTTCAGAGATGTCGACATGGTTCATTCCTGACCTCCTGAAAGTCTGAAATATTACCCTTTCAGAGAAAGGAGCCTTCTTTGTCTTTTTGGTCTGAAATGTTGTCTCCTTAGTGCTCATTAGCCTATAATAAGTATTTTAATTTAGGCATTACTGTGTTAGAACTTAGTATATTATGCACTTACTTGTTAATTTCTCTTTTCTACCTAAAGAAGTTTGGGAAATTTTTGTTTAGTTTATTGTCTTGCATTCTGTGTCTGAAAATTGTCCTTGACACAAATTAGGCAATCAATAATTAAGTGAATAGCAAATGTTCAGTAAGTATTATTGTTTATACCTGCTGTATTGAATTGAGTATTTTTTGTAATTATTAACATTTGCTGATTATTGTGGGATGTATTTAAGAAGTTTATAAAGTTATGCTGAGTTTATTTGAAAACCAAAGCCCCGGTCTGTAGTAAATCACTAGTTTAAATTATAGCAAACTTCTCACAACATTGCAAATTAAAATTTAATGAGCTCCAATGTGATGGAAATGTGTTCACGTCCACCCTTTATACAAAAGCTATTAATTAGGATAATAGCTTAACCTTTATTGAGTGCTTATGATAAATCACAAGTGATAACACAGCAATATAGTTCAGGCATGGGCTCTAGAATCAAATGTTCAAATCCTAATTGTACCCCTTCCTGGCTGAATGACTTTGTATTAGTTAACCTGTCTGACCCTTGTTTTACTCAGCTATACAAAGGGAATATTATTAATTTATATATAGGTTTTAGAAAAAGTACCTTTCTCATAGCACTCAATAAATGATTAAGTGCCAATGCTTTCTAAGCACTTTACATACATTTGCTTAATCCTCATGACAGCCTTATGACATAGGAACTATTTCATGTTCTTTAGTAAATTGTTTGAAAGAGAAATAACTACTTATAAATATACTTACTTTATAGGAGTGAGTTTGAGTAGGAGAGTACTCAAAACAATTTTTTCTACTCTGAAAGTAAGGTTATATGGAGCAAATTATTGAATCAGTATTTTCTCTCTCACATTTTGATGTTTAATTTGCCTTCATGTTTCCTATTTCTATATAGCTAATGAACTTTTCTTTGAAGATGGAGTTCTGGCATTAGGAATAGGGTAGTTTAAAGGATCAATTTGAAGTATTGTGTTAAATGTTATTATTTTCCTTTTTTGGACACAAAGTAGTATATTTCAATGACTTAAGTTTCAAAGATTTTACTTTGTGACAAAATTAAACTTCGGCTAAAGCATTATTGAGACATAAGCTTTGTGGCAGCAAGTACTGTACTCACGAAGAGGCACTAGAGTTCCTCGGAACGCAATAAGATCAAGAAACACTTATTTGAACTGTATGATATTCAGTTTGGACATTTTATACATGACTGACGTGAATCAGATGTTTCAAGGTGAGTTGTTTAAAGAAAGTCCTCAGATAGAAGAATGATAAATTACAGGAATAGAAGATGGATCTTATGATGAAAAGTAAAAGTTAAAGGGGTTGCTCAGTCTTCTCCCCTTTTCTTAGACTGAAGGACAGGGACATGAAGAATATGTAGACATAAATAAAACCGGTTTTCAAAATTATAAACCTTGAAAAGAATGTATAGAGAAACTGTAAACTGTAGGAAATTAGGAGACAGTTTTGACCAGTGGTTCTCAATTTTCCATGCATAAAAGCTTCTGGAATTGAGAGTTAAAGGACAGCTCTCTGGTTCCCAACCAGAGACTCTAATCCAATGGGCCTTTAGTCAAGCCTAACCATTTGTAGTTTTCAAGTACTTCCACACTATTCTGATACAGATAGTCCTTGAAACACATGTTGAAAAAAACTGGTGAAGGAACTGAATATATGCCCTGTGCACACAGCACACACACACAAAGTTTTTCCATCATCTCAGATGAGTTCTAAATTCACATACAGACACCAGAGTTTAGAAGAACAGTGAGACAAATTTTATTGTTCTTCCTTGCATTTATTAACGAAGTCACATGTTAAGCTTCATAGAGAAAACTAAATTTTAAATAACACATAACCATAGTACTTGAGTAAGGAGAAATTAAATCATAAATTATACCTTTGAGATCTGATAAGTCATATTCAGATAATGTTTGGACCGTCTTGGCACAGAGGATTATAAAGGAACAAATTACTAAGTATTTATATTTCTGTTGTGTTGACATTTACACTTGGTAAATGAACATTAAATTATAATAGCCACTGCTTGCTGTGTTCTTCAGTTATCCTCTTAAATTCTGTTTCTGTTGAGTTTATATTTTTGTTTATTCCCCTTCTAGGCTGGAGCTATGACATTGAAGAGAGAAAAGTTCCGAAACCCAAGTCCAAGTCTTATGGTGCAAACTTTTCTTGGAACAAAAGAACAAGAGTATCCACAAAATAGATTGGCACTGACTGTATCTCTACTTGACTGTGAATAAAGTCAGCTGTGCAGTATTTATAGCCCATGTATACATCTCTTAATCACCTAATAAATTTGACCTTAAAATTATAGATAGATATATTTTGCAGTTTCTGTTTTGTTTTTTAATGTCTCAAACACGTTACAATTTCCTATGTAGAGAGGAGATTTTAGGTGATCATACTTATAGGAAATTGTGATACTTAGAATCTATAAAAGGGAATGCTTGAAATCAGTTGCAACCTTGAACTTTTGTGCTTGGCCTTTTATATAGCTATTTTCAAGTTAATGGTGTTTAAGATATCAGCCATGATTATTAAAATGTTTAGAAATTCTTCTGTTCTATCATAAGTAGAGAAGTATATAACACTACAATCTGATAAACATTAGCCCAAATCTCCTTATTAAAACTCTTTTTTTAATTAGAACTTTTTTTTTTATTTTCTAAGCTTTTATAAAACTGAATGAATTGTGTTCCATACTAATTTCTGCCCATCAACACTTCATGACTATGAAGCGTCCAGTGAAGATTTTATAGTTAGGAAATGAAAGACTCAAAAAAAAAAAAAGTTCATTGTTGGGAACTTTAGTGTTCTCAGTAGTTTTTTGAAAATATAAGTAAATACATGTTTTTATTGATTAACTATCAGGTTATATGTTCTTAAGCTCTTTAATAAACCTTTGTAGACTAACCTTCATAATAACCATTAGATAGGTACTATTATTTTCGCAATTTACTAAAGAAAAACATAAATTAAGGCTTACAAGGATTATATAACATGCTCGTGATCACACACATCTTATGTGCCAAAGCTAGGACTGGCACCTATATCTTGTCTTTAAAGCAAATATCCTTAACTACTATGGTTACAAAGAAATAGACTTGATTAATGACAGCTTATTTCTTTGGATTGTTAATATGTTCTTTAATGTTTTAAAAGTTATATTTGCATTTCATTAAAACAAATAGCACGTTGATCTAGATCAGTAAGAAAATACATCAGAGTATTAATCTATACAACTTTGTTTTGGAGAACATGTTGAAAATCTTTGTTTAAAATGTTAATTCTAAAAAATTTAATTCTAGGCAGACAATCTGAGGGTATACAGAGATAAATATGCAAAAATATTTATTACAGAATTGTTTTTAAAAGCTAATAATTTGAAACAGTGTCTATTTAATGAAGTTAAGTGGTGTATTATTCACCTATTAAAAATAACAAGAAATATCTATGAACTTTTAAGAATTATGTTCAAGTATATTGCTACATAAAAAAAAAACAAGAATAATAAGTGACAGTAGGAGTGACAGTGTAGCAAATGTTTCCATACACACACACACACACACACACACACACACACACACACACACACACCTGTATATATACACAGTTATATACATGAAGTTTCACTATAATTCATGTTGGCTATCTTAAGCTTTTCTTGAAAATATGTATTGTTTAATAACTATTACATTAGAATGTTATTTCAGGTGAAAGGTAAACTTTGAGCAATGAAAAAATATAGCTGTTAAGATGTTAACAGTTTTATAAAATTCATGGAAATTAACATTCTGTTGAACAACAAATGAGTGAAAGAAGAAATTAAAAGGGAAATTTTTAAAATATCTTGAGGCAGACAAATAGAATTCCAACATAACAGAATTTATGGGATGCAGCAACAAAAACTAACAAAACTAAGAAGAAAAAAACTACAAACATTTAGTTAGGAAAAAAAGGGCACACTCGTAATCACAAAAGAAGAGACTGTTAACCACAGAAATAGAAAGGATCATATAACGATGAACAAATATATGCCAACAAATTAGCCTAGAAGAAATGGGTGAATACATAGACATGTACAACCTACCACAACTGAAGCATGAAGAAACAGAATCTGAGCAGACCAATAACTGGTAAAGAGACTCAGTCAGTATTAGAAATGTCATCAAAGAAAAGCCCAGAACCTATGGCATCACTGCTGAGTTCTACCAGACATTCAAAGAACTAATAAAAATTTCAAAAAATTGAAAAGCAAGAAATAGTTTCAAGCTTATTTTACAAAGCCAGCATTGCCCCTGTCACAAAGCCAAACCAAATGCATTACAAGGTGTGGGTGTGGAGAGAAACCAATATCTTTGGCTCCAGAGCAGATGTGACACCCTGCCTCCTGGGGACTCGGGCTACTTAGACACTGGAAGTAACCCCTCCCCTTCCTGTGAAGCAGTGCCCAGGGGTTCCAGGCCTCTGGAATCATCAGAGCAGAGCACTAGTACCTACCAGTATCACAGCTGATGTGGCACCCCCATTCCTAATTATGCAGACAGTCCAGTGACCCATATAGCTATGCTTCTTGGTGCTAAACATGCCACGGAATAAATTGCACTGGCTGAGTGGAGCTATTAGTTTTCTCACCTATCTAGAGGTAGAATATTCCCCTGCATTCTGAGCTTCCTAAGGCACCCCACCTCCCTCAGGAGTGGGTACATTACAGCTCTGTAACCCCAAGCCCAAATTAACAGCATCTTGCCAATTCTGGGTCCTTGCTACTGTTCTACCTTGGCTTACAGAGCCTGTCCTACTGCTATGTCCCACCATCTGAGGGCTCAGAGTCATAACTACATGGTATCTTATCCCTCAAAGCACAAGATGCCATGTGCTCTGTTGGTTTCTGGTTCTAAACTACAGCTATGCCCTAAGCCCCTAGATCATCCTTTCTTCCTTGGAGCTATACCAGCGCTGTGCCCCTCCCACGTAGGTAAGAATCAAGGCTACCTTGCAGCCCCTTGTGCCTGAGCTACTGGAGGATACCTCAGAGAAACGGCTTCAGGCTTTTTGAGGGACCCAAGACTCAAAGTCACTGATGTTACAGTATTTTCATAATGTGCTGAACCCAGAAACCTGACTCCACTGCTGCTCTAAGCACCTGTATGGTTGTCTGTGAGATGGTCACACCCAGCACCCAAAGAAATTCCCTCAGTTAAGATTCCCCATTGTGGGGAAGATAGGGAAAGGAACATCCATCCCTAAAGCCCTTACCCTGATAATCTGCACAGCCACTGTCACTGTCTAGACCACTGACGCATTTATAGTCATTGCTAGCATTGATCACAATTGAAGAAGCTGCTTGGAAACCACACCACCACTGCCGCAGTCTGGCTGGGCACACAATCACGAGCCACTCACACCTTGTAGATTCGAACAGCAACTCTTTATTCCCGAACTCACACCGGCCCTCTACAAACACGTTCTGGGGAAATTCACGTTCTGGGCAAAAATCACGTACTCCACCAGGCTCTAATCAGCAGGATACGCCCTATTCCCCACAGGGTACACCTTAAACCTGGAACCACCCTAAACCCAAGGAGCAGGATACTCCCTAAAACCTGATCCGCCCTAATCCAGTAGGATCCTCCTTAAACCTGGATCTACTCTGGTCCTTGAGCAGGGTCACCTTTCTCAAACATACATGCAATGTCACTGCAAAATGTCCAAGGCAAGTCCATTTCCACGAGTCCTTCCTCTAAGCAACATGGGGTACGCTAGCAAGGAAATTTCAATACGTCATTCCTACCTCGCAATGGCTCTCAGCACACCACACCCACACAAAACCAGAGTTACCACACCTTGCCCAACTGGCACCCTTAGACTATCTATGGGTGAATTCTCTCTAGCCACTCCAAAGTTGGAATACATGACTGCACCACTAGATACAAAGACATTAACATGGGAACATAAAAAATATGAAAAAGTCAAATGCCAAAGGAACAAAATACTTCAGTAACATTTCAAAGAAATGGAAATTTACAAATTAAGAAGGGATTCAATTCAAATAATAACTTTAAGAAAACAATACAAGAGAATACAAATAGACAATTCAATGAATTCAGGAAAATTTATGATCTGAATGAGAAATTCAACAGAGATTATTAAAAAAGAAAATGAAGATTCCAATCAGTGAAGTAACAAGTACAATTGGGAGCGTCAGGCAAAACCAAGCAGGCTTTCTGAAATTATTCCATCAGAAGAAAAAAGGAAGGAAAATAAATAAAGACAGCATATGGGACATCAGTAAACAAACAGGTATCTACAGTATAGTAGTTTAAGAGGGAGACAATTGGGGGAATTTTTTTTTTTCTGAAAAAATAGGTAAGAACATCCAGATTGAAACTCAAAATTTTGTCTCTGAGTATACTCAGCCCCATTGAGGTCCTCTATAAGGTACATTATAACCTGTCAAAAGTTGAAGAAAGAGACTTTTTAAAGCAACAAGAGAAAAGCATCAAGTCACATATAAGAGAACTACCATTAGACTGTAGTGGATTTCTCAGCAGAAACCTTACATGTCATGAGACTACATGATGATGCAATCAAAGTGCCTAAAGAAAAATCTGTCCGCCAAGAACACTATGCCATGCAAAAGTTATTCTTCAGGAATAAAAGAGTAGTCTTTCTCAGGTAAGCAAAAGCTGAGGGAATTCATTACCACTATACCTGCCTTACTGGAAATGCTTGAGGAAATTTTTCAAGTGGAAACAAAAGGACAATAATTACTCTCCTAAATACATATGAAAGTATAAACCCACTGGTAGAGGCAAATAAATACATTGTCAAATCGAGAATACTCCACTACTATTATGACATTGTGTAAATCACACAAATCTCTACTATGAGGTTAAAAGACAAAATAGTGAAAATAGTTAAAGCTACAATGAACTGATAAGAATACACAATATAAAAAGATGTAAATTGTGACATCAAAAAAGTCTATGGTTTTTGAATGCAACAGAAATGATCAACTTAAAATAGTAGATTATAACTGTTAGAGCTTTTATATAAGCCTTATGGTAACCACAAAACTAAGTACAGAAAATTACCATATCACAGAGGTAGACACTAAGAGGAAGAAAGGAACAAAGGGAGTATATAACTACCACAAAATAAATGTTAAAATAACAGTATTAAGTTCTTACCTATCTCTACTAGTATTGAATGTGAATAGAGTAAATACTACAATCAACAGATTGTTTAAATGAATAAAAAACAAAATCCAAGTGATATCCTCCTTATAAAAGACTCATTTAGGCTTTAAAGATACA